CTGCTCCAGTCTGACAGAGATATTCTCCCACTGTGAGGTGCATGTGTGAACAACCAGATCAGGAGGATTTCAGGGGCAGTCCTCCTGAAATTCTCTCGACATTTTTTGTAAATGCATTTGGGATAACTGCTTTCATCAGACTTGTTTACTTTACGATACAATACTTCTGCCTCCCCCAGGCTGTTGAAGAAGCCCCCAGGCTTCTTCAACAGAGTGTCCATTTCCGTTATCTCAGACTTCTGTTGCACTTTGACACAAAATATACTTATAAAGTAGAACTCAATCAACACTCTCTATGAGCATCAAACAACTTTATCTATGATAAACTATCTAAGATACACATGACAAATGTCAATTTCTCTCTGCAGATCAATCAACAAACCTTTATTAAATGTTTGTATCATACACCATTCATTTATTCCTGATTGTGATGAGATAATGAGTTCCTGTGAAAATGTTCACGGAAACAGTTTATCACAGGTTACAACAGGACATGTGTGCAGAAACAAACAAAAAAATTCTAGGCTTACTTGAGAAACAGACTATTTAGTAATCTCTGCTTTTCCTGTCCCTTCCTAAAATGAAATTGGTTTGTTTTCTACAAACACCTCAGTAAATGCTACCAAATGGTGCCCAAGCCTGTGGATGTGACACATTGAAAGCAACTGGAGTATATGATCTCAAAACTACCTGGTGACCAGGAAACACACATTTAAAGCTGGAGTAGGGAATGTATTTAAGATGCATACAGTATTTGTCAAACATCCTGAAAAACATGTGATAACTTAGGCGACTAAAAAAAATGTTGAGTGGTGGAGAGGACAGAACTGACAAATTTATCTAAAGCTGAACTTAATCCCTACCTTCTTGCACCCAGCCCAGGTACACATTGCATTTCAATGGTAACTTCTACCATTGAAATGCAATGTGTACATGATGATGATGTTACCTCCAGATTGGATTATTGTAACTCTCTTTTGTCAGGGTGCTCTAGTAAGTCTCTAAAGACTCTTCAACTAGTCCAAAACGCTGCAGCTCATGTAATGACCAGAACCAGGAAAAGGGACCACATTACTCCTGTCTTGGCTTCTCTGCACTGGCTCCCCATACAGAATAGAATTCAAAATCCTTCTTCTCACTTATAAAGCTCTAAGTGGCCAGGCACCATCTTATCTTAAGGAGCTACTAGTGCCGTACTGTCCCTCGAGAGCGTTGCGGTCCCGGAGTGCAGGCCTGCTGGTGGTACCTACAGTCTCTAAGTGTACTATGGAGGGTAAAGCCTTCAGTTATCGGGCTCCTCTCCTCTGGAACCGCCTTCCAGCCGGGGTCCGGGAGGCAGACACAGTCTGTATTTTTAAGAATAGACTTAAAACTTTCCTTTTTGATAAATCTTATAGTTAGTGCTGGTGTAGACCAGCTCTTAGTTATGCTGCTATAGGCTTAGACTACCGGGGGAACTGGCACCTTGAGCTTCTCTCTCTCTCTCTCTCTCTCTCTCTCTCTCTCTCTCTCTCTCTCTCTCTATCTCGCACTCTCTCTCTCTCTCTCTCTCTCGCTCTCTCTCTCTCTCTCTATCTCTCGCTCTCTCTCTCTCTCTCTCTCTCTCGCACTCTCTCTCTCTCTCTCTCTCTCTCGCTCTCTCTCTCTCTCTCTATCTCTCTGTGCATATACAGTACATCATATTACTGCATGTATCTATCTGTAAATCTCAGTCACTAACCACCTACTTTCCTGAGAGCTCTTGAGCTCTCTTAGGCTCCTCAAGATCGTTGGTTGACAGCCAGCCAGAACAACCCCCACCCAACCCCTACCCCCTCCCCACCGGATCTTTGGTTGACGGCCTGCCAGAACAACCCCCCCCCAGCCTGTGAAGGCTGTTTCGTCATGAGCCGGGGATCCGGCCTAAGTTTTCTGCCTTTTAATAAGGCAGTTTTTTCTTACCACTGTAACTTTTGCTGCTTTGCTAAAGTGCTCATGATGGATAGGCCGGATCTTTGTAATATAGCAATAAATAAGGTCTTTTACCTTCTTTTTGTAACATAACAATGAGTAAGGTCTTTTTACCTGCTCTTTTGTAATGTTAACAGACAAAGAGTAAGGTATTTTACCTGCTTTTTGTAAAGTGTCTTGAGATAACACTTGTTATGAGTTGACGCTATACAAATAAAATTGAAATTGAATTTGAAATACCAGACTACAACTAAAGCTATAAGAATTGACAATTACAACAGTGTGTTGCTAATGCTTTTCTCGTAAAGCTTTTCTCTAGCATTAGAAAGAGTTACTGTACATATTCATGTTGTAATGGAGCAGTGGCTTGGAAGGGAGGCCTGTAGAAAGGGCTGGGATTTCTTGGGGGTATTTTTGCAGGTTTCTAAAAAGTTACCTTCTCTAGCTTTAAGTAATTGATCTTTCTTATTGGTATGATATGGACCTGGTTTTGGTTTTATTTGATGGTAGGCCAAAACACAGATCCAAAGCATGTTTGGTCTGTATGAGATATATAACTGTTGCTCATGTGTCCAAAGGGTTATGCAGTCTTTGGCATTTCCTTACAGGACATATTACCATGCCAGCAAAAGTTTGATGTCCTTATGCATGAAAAGCAATCACAATCGTTATGTTCTCCAAGCATTCCATTCAGGACTAACAACGTCTGAAGCACAAAATTACTGTAATCCACCCTCGGTGTGTTTTACCTGCCAAGAGAACCAGTAAATGAAATACCTTGGTTGATAAACATGTTATCATGAAGAAAAAAATTAAAGAGAAGGTGATTCAGAGGAAGGAGGGGGAACCTTGTATCAATTCTGATAACCAACAGTGCACAGACCATTGTCCTTGGCACATGAAATTTCTAAATATGGAAATATATGTTACTTTTACTCAGAAACAGCTGATCAAAAGGTTTCGACAAGGAAGAGAGGTTTTTACTTCCCTAAAACCGGAAAAAGACCATTTTAAAGAATTTTAAGCCATGCAAGCATTCCAGCATGATAGTGAAACTAGCTGGTTTGCCTAAAATGGTTAGCTTGATTAAACCAATAATTTGATCATCCCTGCAGAATTAGATAAATACAAAGTACGTCTTCTGGAACAGTTAATAACAATCACATGTAAACAGTATAGATACAACAAATGCATAGCCTCTGTCTGTCTGCAGCTATGTAGAGTCTTCCCCCTGCACAGTAGCTGGGATTCTCCTTTTGGCAGACTGGAAGATGTTTGCTTTCCTCTGTGGGACACCACAGTTTAAATTTGGCCTGTTAAACTTGTGTGAAATAGTGGGGCTTCTATCACAACAAAAGCACTGATGTAGCAAAGTGGTTCAGCAAGTATTTTAATAAATCTCTAAAGGCAAACAGATTTTCTCATTGCTTGGCTACATGCAGGTCCAAGAGTCTGCAACACTTCGGGTAGCCAATTTCTATCTATGCATTTATTGGAGAGACAGGACAGTGGATACAGTCAGGAATAAGGGAGAGAGAGAGAGAGTGGGGAATGATATACAGTAAAGGAGCCACAGATTGAATTTGAACCCAGGCTGTCCGTTTGAGGACTGATACCCTCTGTAAAGTACATGTGGCATGCGAACAAACCACTAGTCCACCGTGGCCCATAGGTAACCGCTCACATATCATTTTCTTATTACCTCCCTGTAACATACCTTTAGTGGTCAGACAGGAGAAAAGGGTTGAAAATGGTTGGGCCAACAATGCGTGTGATTTTGGCAGTGGCGACCCATTTTTGCAAGAAGTCAATATTTTTGTTTATAAAGCCATGTTTTGCTCTAAATAATAATAATTAAAACGTTTTATTGCAAGCAGGGACTTGCGATTTTTACATTGTGAATTTGAAATGTCATCCGCCTGATTGAGGCATCAGAGCAAATAATGGCATATTAGATGTTTAGGAAAACAATGGAAAAATTATGTTTTGATTATTACTTTGGACAACAAATCTGAATCTTCACTTATTTCATCGATCCAGCTCTCTATGGGCAGGTCCCTACTGCCTGGTAGTATAACATCTACTGTTTGTGTGAGGACAAGGAGGCAATATGTCTGTGCTATGCCTGCGTAATTGGTCGTAAATTACATTCAGTGTTAATGACATGTAAATTCATGAGACAAATGAGAAACGTTCACCCGTGTAGTTGAATGTATGGAGGCTTCTGCACTTCATTTCAATCTACAGCTGCACTGGTTGGTTTACTACAAACACCTCTGTAAGTGTTCACAGATGGCGCCAAGTTGGCAGACATAACTGTCCCACAGCAAATACTTTCTCACAAGCCGAGTGAGAACTTCATATGAGAAGGTTTAAAGTTAAGTTGGACACCAGCACCAACAGGAGGAAATATTTCTGATGTATATTATGTGGAAGGTTAATTGGTAAAGAATACAATATGTCTTTGAGTCCTTCAGTGTCAGTCTCATGCTTTCTTTTTTCTCTCAGCTCTACTCCAACCCTCTTCTCTTCCTGTCTCTCTCTTAACAAGTTACAGAAAAAAAAAAACCTGTTTCTAATTAGGTGCTGAGAGAAAGGGAACAATCTCTCCACTGAGAACACTACAAGAAGTATCTTTGGTAACAAGACATTTACATCATAGAATGATCAATCTTTTTAATAAGATTGTGAGAATGACAATTTTGAGAACCTGTTATTTATGGTGGTTCATTAGTTTTCAGTGATAACATATTTATAATCCAACAGTCCAAGTTAATGCTCAGGATTGTTCTTGTTTTGTTGTTTTGCAGTGACACGCGCTACAAACGTTTGTAGTGCCTGAGCATCCAGAGAGAGAGAGAGAGAGAGAGAGAGAGAGAGAGAGAGAGAGAGTGTGTGTGTGTGTGTGTGTGTGTGTGTGTGTGTGTGTGTGTGCGTGTGTGTGTGTGTGTGTGTGTGTGCGTGTTTGTGTGCGTGCATGTTTGTATGTGACGTCATGCGCAGACAAAGCTGCTCTCCTTCAGAGTGTGTGTGGCAGTCGGTCGGTCAGAGTGAGTAGAGAGAGAGTGTTTAGCGTAGCCGCCGCGCCAGCGCAGAGAGGCACGGAGACACAACGAGAGCATCAGGCCACTTCATCTGGAAAAAAAACTTCTTAACCAGGGACACAAATCGGAGGTCATATTGCTTTATTCTGCACGGAAATAAAATGAAAGGGTTACCTGGCTGTATTTTGGATTTGGAGTCTTGCATTAGTACATTGCTGCGACTTTGACACAAGAGTTGCACAAACAGAGTCTGAAGTTGGAGGAATTTCAGGAACCCTCAATCAAAGTTGAGTTGGACCTCCAGGAACCGGTTTAGGGAGTAAACTAAACTGCCTTACTTACAGCTTTCACAGGAAAAGAATACGCCGTAAGTATTTCACATCTTGTGCTTTTTTATTTTTCATTTAAAGTTTTTAATCACATTAGCGCGTCTTTGCATGTTGTGGGTATCTTTACGTAATCAAAGTCTACCTGCCACGTAGACGAGGCTAGAGATGTTTCTGTTCAGATAAAGTATGTGATGGCATTAGCAGATGCCTGACTCCGCTCCACGCACCGTTATTCGAAAGGTTGTGCAGAGTCTTTATGGTGTGAGACCGGGGACGCAGCTGGAATGAGGGACTTGTTGCGCCAGAGCTGGGCTCTTTATCAAACGGCATTTGTGGAAGGGAGTCTGCGGAAAAAAACAAGCAGGCGTTGAGTCTGGGAGTAGAAGGACATCTGTGTTGATTTTCCATGCTGATCTGCAGTCTTTGAGTGTGCTTTGAATTTTCTTCGAGTTTTCTTCCATCCTGTCTCTCTCCCGACTGTAGCCCGAGCACTGAAAAAAACAAGTTATTCATATCAAGCGGTCATCCAACAGAAGAGATGCACTGTCAGCACTTGCATGATGACCAGGCAAGGAGCAAATTGATAGTCCTCAAACATTTATTGTATTGAAGTATGCGCCTTGATGCTGTCTCTATTACCGGCAGGAGTCAACACACCGTGCTGCGTTTTGGACCCAGGCCTTGAGATTCAGCAGCAAATTCATGAACTAAATGAACTTCTCCCTGAACTCAGATGTGACTGCCTAACTGATGGATGGAAAGATGTTTGACCTCAAAGCAGACATGAATCTGTGGGGCAGCTGTGGCTCAGTTGGTAGAGTCGGGGGTTTGATCCCCAGCTACATGTCCGTTGTGTCCTTGGGCAAGACACTTAACCCCAAATTGCTCCCTCTGCTACGTCGGCGTGTGAATGTGTATGAATGGGATTAATTACTTCTGATGGTCATGGTACATATCATCCTCTGCCATCTGCGTGTGAATTGGTGGGTGTGACATGCGGTGTAAAAGCGCTTCACCATTTCCCAAAAAAACTGTGACCAGCATGGAGACACATATCAGGGTCAGATTTTAAACTGAGCTCCTAATGTGATAGTTCCTCATTTTCCCTATGTGATAAAAAAATATATACAACAACATCAAACACTGATAATCATTCTGCGTCTGGGATTCCTGATTCCTGCATAACATCCCTGGCCACTTGCTTTTAGTTGCTCTTCATGAATAAAGACATACAATATAATATAGTCAACAGCTTAAATAGGGTAGCCTGTGTAGCTCTGAAGCCCTAAGCTTTGAGATACAGATACCACTATAGCAGTTTTACACTTGTAGGGATTAAGATTGTTATAGTGGTAAACTATACCAAATATCCAATTAAAATAAATAAAGTTAAAGAACCAATTCAGGCAACATCGAATTATAGTTCCAAAATTAATCTTGCTAACAAATGTTTAATATTTCATGATTTTTGGACATGTGACACTCATTAACACACGTGAAACGTTCCAACAAGTTTCAGGTTTGGGTCTTAAAATTACTCAAGATAGTTCACTAGTGAAATGGAAGTCCTGTGTCTGCTTGACCCATCAATCGCCCCTCGATATGTTCCCAGAAATGACGCTCGTGGAGTACTTACAGGTGCATATTCTAACACATTTGGACACTGACCTAGCTGGAATATATTAGATTGTTAGTATTAAACTGCAAGATACATGAATGTAAATATGTTCCTGCTCATTTGCTGCCTCACATGGGATCATTTATGTAGTTTCCAACATTTTGACCCAGAGCAGAATGTCCAAACTATTACTTGCAGGGCAGCTGTAAAACTTGGTTGATTTAAGTCCCCAGAGGAGGACTTGGCAAATCATCTAGAGCATGTCAGGTCAGAATGGATCTTGTTCAATAATTGAGTCTGTTATGACGAAACAAATAGCTATGGACATGTTTAATCTGAAAGCTTTTTAGTTGCCATGACTTTTCCCACTATAGCACCGTCACCAGGCTTATATTTGTGAAAGAAAATGTGATAATTGTTTTGCACCTTTAGGTTCCCCTAATCCTCACCCCTTCAGACTAAGTTAGCCATTTACTTACATTCACATCTCTATAGGACAGATAAGAGTCTACAGAGAATTCAAAATCTCACCACAAGATTTTAGATGGCAGGCAGGGCACATGGCTGACACAACAGTATGGTTAGTTTCCATCTGTGTCTCTTACACTTGGAATGTAGAATTATCAGTAACAGAGACTGCAGTCGTGAGAACAAACAGTCACCAAAAGAGCTACAATATATAAAAACCAAAGATCATTGTTCATTTTAGACACAACAGTTTCTTTAAAGCAGCCTCTGAAAACAAGAATGAAGAAAAATACATTTGCTCTAGGGTGTTATTTTGTCTTCATGTTTTTTACTATAGGATGTGGTAGAGGTGAACTTCCATTCTTTTTTGAAGTTACCTCATTAATTGTGTGTGTTGAGTGTGTATTTCTAAGAGATAGCATAATCCCTCTTTACCTGCCACCCTTGGTCTCAAACCTCAGGGGGTCTCTGATGCCATAGGGGGGCTGTGAGAACCATTAACAGTCCTGTGGGTAGATTAGGTCAGGAGCTTTAAAGCTGTTTGAATCCCTGACTGCACATTCTCAAAGTAATGTTGCACTATGAGCCACATCAGCTGGCTTGCCAATATACATTTTTAACGTGGCTAAGATATCTTTACAACTATTTAAATTTGAGAGGCAACTTTCACTTCATCCTGAAACACATCAGCAGCTACATGTGGAGGTTGGAAAGGGAAACTACTGAGCACAGGGTCTTCAGGATTTTCCCACCTTGGGCTGTTCAATAAGACATTTAACCTTTCCACTTTGGACATGAAGAAATGTTATTACGCGTTATTGTGAAATTCCTCAGAAGTAGTGCTGCAGCACCCTTAGTTCCATTCTACCATGGGGAGATTTGTTGCTTAGTAGAATCATTTCTCCACCAGTAGAAAAAAAAACATGAGATCTACAACTTCCCATATCCGAGACCCTAATGAAAGACACATGTAATGCATGCAGACGCTTAACAAATTACAGCTACTATAAGTGCGAGATGATTAGAGATGATGGACAGGGACTATCTCTTTACACATTGCAATTCAACAATGATGCAATAACAAAGTTCCATCAGTATTACACCTTTGGACTTAAACATTGCATGTGAATGGCTAATAAATATTGATGCCCCAGTGTGTGATTATACTGTGCCATACTGTAACTAAACAGCAGGAGCATCTCACACACACTCTGACATGCTCACACACAGCCCTGTCCCACCCTGCCAGTTTTATATTTCCACCACCTCGCCCCAGATACAACTCTGTTACTATTATCCTTCAATGGTGGATCAGGGGAAGAATGACTTTGCCCAATCATTCCACCTCTGCCTTGAACTGGCAATGTGTAACTGAGAGCAAAGAGAGAGCAAAAAGTTAGAAAAGTATAGTTAAAAATATTGCAGGCTAAAGGCTTTGTCTGTTATAATGAATTTAACTTTATGTAAAGAATAATAATGTTGTCTAATACAATGGTCTTTTTTAACTTTAATGCATCTTTAGACTTATGAGAAAATAATCACATGGGTCACCCATATTATGACACAACTGAACTTCAAATATGTGGACAGGATAGTTCACATGAGCTCAGTGGTTTCCTCAGTAACCATGGTAGCGGAGCAGTGTGTAAGTCTCTAAGTTCTGTTTGAAAAATGTGACAAGGTCCAAAAAACAAACTTATCAGTACGTTTCTATACAAACTTGTGAGTTGCTGAAAAGCAAAACACATTTTGAAGGGATGAGTTGATGCTTCTGACTTATGACCTTCTTGTTCAAACAAAACCAAACTCCCACTGCAGAGACTTATCATCTCCCCCGGAGATGGCTGTTTTATGTTTCCCTGCATGAGCTCTGACACCCGTCAGGAGAAAGGGTCCTTGAGACATCTGTGTTGTGATTACTGAAAGCATGATTTCTCCACCCCCTTGTCTAAGGACCTGCATTCCATCCATTCTTACTCCCAACACCCAGATTGTTTCCACATTCATGCAGGTGAAGGAGGCACATTTTGTGAGCTATTGTAGCAGAACTTAAATTTCCTTTAAAGTGAATGTGAAGGGGGGATGATTATTTCATGTTCAAACATAAATTCAATTAAACATGTGAAGAACAGTGAGGTTTTTTTCATCTTTAGCATTTCATTAGGTTCAAGTACAGGAGCTACTCAGTGCTAGCATTTCCTTTGAACCTACAGTATTTCTTATTTTGTTCCTATGTGAATCTGAAGTCAGACCACAACTTCTTCTTCAACAGCTGATCGTGATTATTTTGCTGATTAAATTAGACATTTTGAAAGGATGACGCACCATGTAGTTCCCCTCGCAGCTCTGCTCCTAATCCTGCTTGCACGCGCTGCAGTGACATCGTACTTGTTGAGATAACACACCATGGTCAGCTGTGGTTAAAAACACTAATAACAGATTGAAACCTTCACATGTTTCGTTATGCTTAATGTGGTTTTTTGTTCCTATATGGTTGTTTTGTAATGTTTAAAAGTCCTAAATGAAAAACTGCAAAGTTATCCTCATGGTTGTCTTAGGAATTAAGCTTTATCATTCTGCATGAGAGCTCGCATTCTTGACACTCAAGGCCTCTGAAAATTCTTTCCGATGGAGGGAAATCCTTAAAAAATACACATTTTCTCCTTGACGATTGTTGTTTTAAACAGTCCATTTATTGGCAATTTCTGTTACTCTCATAATGAAGCGGTAACTCTTTCTTACCAGGAGAGCAATGATTCCCCTGGTTGAAAATCTTCTACCACTTTGCAGATTATTTCAATATCAAGAAATACATTTTTCCAAACTTCCCCATGCAGTTTTAAATGCCTAAGCATCAACAATGTGTGAGGGCTTCACAAAACTCCATCAAAAATGGATCCAATTTGATTTGGGTATATTAGGTTTTCTTTATTAGTTGTAGGGATAGATTAT